TCCAGCACACATGTGGAGGCACCTACAGCTCTCATCGCCTTGTCCACATCCTCAGGGGTAACAGCTTGAAAATCAACCCAGCGATTGGATATCTTGGTTGTAGGTTTTCCTACTTATTTAGCCCATAAATAAGCGACCTATTCCTTTCTTTCCTCCCTTGTGTTCTCATAACATTTTCATATAAATAGGAAGTAGACTGCTTCACGTAGCATTTCATGGATTTTCTGTAATGTAGCTGTGGGCCCCAATGCTAAAAAGTAAATAAAAGAAATGCAGAAGAAATCGAAGTAATTTTGATTTAAATCTATCAGCCAAACAAGGATGTGGGGTCATTGTGTCCTTAAACATGTGAAACCTGTGGTTATATCAGACTGTTTTGATATTGTTATGTGTGTCAAAACGGTATTAAGGAGTGCGGTAGGAGAAGGAAAGAAACAGGATCAGTGATATAAATATAATTTGCTAATTTCTTCATTGTGCAACAGAAGTACATGGCTCCAATTGTCATTTGGTATCATCTCACTTACAATGTCAGCTTCATTAATGTTTTGCACTTATGTGACATAGAAATTAATGAGTTACTTACTCAGCTTGGATTTTCCTCATGGTTGGGGACTCAACAGAACATGGAGAAATTGCTCTAAGCCATAAGGAGGAAGAAACAGTGCAAATCAGACCCAGAAGGCAAAATACAATGAAAATGTACAGTGTTTCATATAAGGCTATGCTCGAATTGCTCTCTATGCCTAAAGGAGGAAAGTGCACAGTATGATCATTCTTATTTTTGAATTTTACTCAACTTGCCCTCCCCAATGAATGTATGAAGGTGAGGAAGTAAATAAAATCACATAATTGTTTTTAGAATTATTAAATGGATATTACCCAGTTACTCTCACTGTGTTATGAGAGAGGGATAGAAAATAACATATTTTATTTTAATATAAAATAATATAAACTGTTAATCAAACTTAAACCTGTCAATCTACATAGTGGGCAAAGGCAAGCAAAAGGCAGGAAACTCAAACCCTGGGCAACCAATCAGGAGCAGGAAGATGTTTATTTTTCTCTGAGTTTTTAAACAGGAGAGAGGAACATTTTGCCCTTGCAATTTTCTCTTTGTCTGCTATCCCAATAGGATAGATTCTGGGCAGTGAACAAGTAAACAACAATAAAACCACAAAACATAACAAATAAAACAGTCAACAAAAAGCAACCCTGCAAATAACAGAACATTCCAGCATATTTTTAATGCATACAAACAGATAGTAGGGACAATGTATCTCTGGTGGATAAGTCTTCCAAACTGTGTGGATTGCGACTGAAGGTGGTTTGTTGTTTTCTCCATTGCCCTCTGCTCTTTTCAGTATCCCCCTTCTAGAATTTTGTTGGGGATGGGAAAGTTGGTGCTTACTGAATCTCAGTGTTTTACATATGGTATGTAGCCATGATGACGAAACTATGGCACACGTGCCACAGCTGGCACACAGAGCAATCTCTGCGGGCACGCAAGCCATTGCCCAGGTCAGTTGCACTGCGAATGCGTGTGCTTCCCACTGGCCAGCTGATTTTTAGGACATTGCTAGAAGCGCGCACATATGTGGGGGTGGGGTTAGAGAGGCCTGCTAGCAGCAAAATGGGGGTTGGGGAGGGTGCTGCACCCCCTGCAGCCCATTTTTGGTTCCAGGAGGCTTCAGGGAAGCCTGCTATCACCAAAATGGGGTGGAAGTACGGCATCCCCACCCCATTTTGGTGCTACATCTCCCTGAAGCCTCCTGTGACCAGAAACGAGGGGTGGGGGGTGTGGCGCCCCACATGCCCCATTTTCGGTCACATGAAGCTTCAGGGAGGCTTGCTAGCACCAAAACGGGGGTTGTGCGCACATGCACAGGGGAGCGCGGGGGGGATGGTCATGCACACATGCGCAGGGGCCCTGCAGTGGGCATTGTATTATGGGTGTCAGCACAGGCACACACACTTTTCGCACCCAAGGAAAAAAGATTCGCCATCACTGGTATATATGTTTTAAAGATGATAACCAGCACTCTGAATTGGGTCCAGTGTCTTCCTAGCAATCAGTCTTGCAATCTGCTATCTTTGTCTCAGCCTGAGGTGGCACTATAGAAGTTCAGCATATCAGTGACAACTCACTTGAATAGACTTCCTCTCCCTTTAGTTACTTTGAGATGCAGAACAAACTGGAGAGAAAGAACCAAGCCTTGTGACCACGCTAGGATCACCATAAAAGAGGTCTCTTAAACCCCATAACTTTGGTAGACTGTCCAGAAAAATACCAGCATATGGAAAGCTGGTGAAAACAATTTCCATATACTATATATTCTATATATTCATATTCCATATATCCTCCCTCCATGAAGACATTTCTAACCCCTTGTTAAAAATTGAGATTCTGAATTTTGGCTTTATACCAATATATATTTACTCATCTTTCACCTGAAGTAAACACCTGTTCACTGATGGTGGGTTATTCATCCAGTTACATCCAAGAAAGATTTTATCACATTCTCATGATTTACTAATTCATTATTTATTAATCAAAATAAATATTGTGATTCAAACAAACATTTCATCTTTCACGTTGGATTTTTATTTGCTCTGCTTCTGAAATTTTGTTTCAAGGGAAAGATGTATATTTGTACTTAGAGAACTTCAGACAGTTCTAAACCTCACGAAATACATCATTCTGGACTTCTGGAGAGTCACAGTGTGTGTCAAAAAAGAAGGAAAAAGACCCAAATATTGCTTACCTTGGAGAGGATAACCGAGAAATAGGTTTCATTTCATCAGACTTCTGTTCATTAGAAAACTTGGGATCTTCTAACTATATATAAACAATACATCTCTGTTATTGATACAAAATTAATTTGTACAGGTAGTCCTTGACTTATGACCTAATTGAGCCCAACATTTCTGTTGTTAAGCAAGACATTTGTCAACCTTTTTGAAACTGCTGAAAGGACTATGATGTAGACAGGAGATAGGTGGTATCTTATCCCTCCCTTTCTGTTGAGAGTGGGCTGCTCAGTTATAACATAGATGGCCTCTTTAACCCTTCTTTCAAACCAACGGCGCTCTCTGTTCAGAATGTGAACTTTGCTGTCTTCAAAAGTGTGACCCTTGTCTTTCAAATGCAGATAGACTGCTGGATCTTGTCCTGATGGGTAGGAGAACAAATCAGAAGTTCCAAGAACATTCCATACCCATTTGCCCTCAGATTCAGGTGACCCAAGGGTACAGATAAATCCCCAAGTTGCCTCAACAACTCTCAGAGAGCTAAAGACTGACCTACAGAGTACTAGCAACCAGATAGCTTCAAGGATTATATATTCGATTCCCACCATTCAGTCGGAACTGAAGAAACTTCTTGGATGAGGAGCAAAACATCTTCAAGGAAACAAAGGAAATCCAGTTGCCTTTGAAAAGCACCTTTTGGACCAGAATGTGAGAGGGAATTTGAATGCCTATGTGTAATGGGAGAACCTCTAGTTGGGCGGGGTGGATGGTATAGAAACTATTACCATCCAAACCACCAAACGATTCTGATTTATTGCTATGCAATCCACTACTTTTTGCCACACATTCATGAAGGTTAAGTCACTAATGAATGGAATTCAATATAGCACATCTATTTGTTTTTAAGATGATACCAGTTTGTTATGTAGGCCTTTTTTTAGACAAGAATGCAGGAAATAATTAAAAAAGAATATAAAATAGCATTGTAAACATTGCTATTATGATTATTAAACTAAAAGTTTAATAATTGTGTGAGGGGAGGTTTTAAAGGATAAAATATACGAACAGTGGTGGAATTCAGCCGGTTCAGGCTGGTACGGGTGAACCGATAGTTAAATTGCTGGCTGGCCCTGTCCCTTCTTGCCCCGCCCCTTTCAGGAGTGACCATGTGCCCTGTCTTTGCTCCCAGGAGGCCTAAAATGGGGTTATTAAAATATTTTGATTAAAACAGAATTGGATAAATGTAATCTTGCTGGAACACTGCTGAGAAGACCTAGTTACACAGTCAGCAAATTTTACAGAAAGCCAGCAAGTAGCATCCTAATGATAAACATAAACATATAGGCAGATTATTAAATATTTAAAAGATTAGAAGCAACACTTTGAACTAAGCAGGAAACCCAAGGACAACAAGTTAAACTATGAGTGTGTAATGATTTAGCCTTCTGTTCCACAATAACAATTGAAGTGGCCTCATTCTTCATCAATTGAAGTGTTCTAGTTATGGTTCTACTTATATAATTCCATTGTAATAATCTAGTAAAGGAAAAAGCATGACATTAATTTTTCTTAGTAAGGTTGGAACTAATGTATCAAAGCAAAGTGGAATAAAAGACACTTCTGCTAGAGCATCCTTTGTGTTTCTATAGAAAACATCACATCCAAAAAACATCCACACCATAAATGAGACCTTTTGGTGTGTCAGTGCAACCACTTTCAATATGGAATGCAACCAACTACCCAGAGCAATAGACTTCTTTTTATAAATGGCCTGGTGACTGAAACACAACAAACAGATAACTTGAATTACCTCCTTTGTGATCTTCTCAAAACAAGGCAAATTCTCTTTTTCAGCTGCTTCAGACTCAGCTTGAAAACTACAAAATACAATGATCCAATGTCATTTTTGCAGAAACAATACTCCAATATACTGTTTTGAATATCTATGGGGCAGAATATATTACCATCTGGGTTCAAAAAACAATTATCAGAGTGTTAATGCTTACAGATGCTATACCCATCGTTCATGGGTGTTCATGAGGTAATAGACAAATGGGCCACTGGAAAATATATATATACAAGGAACTGATAATCCATCTGTTGTACAAATCTTTTTTTAATAAAGAATCTGTGATACAGTTATAAAAGATGTGGAATATTAATAATATCTATAGAATAACTATGGCACCTCTGGAATTAAGAGTATTCTCAAAGAGCCTAAGTCTTCTAATCATGCCACAAACATTTCCTTGCTTGGCATTAAATACAATGATGTTGAATGGACTCTTAATTTGCTATAGAATCCCAGTTCTAAAGAAGACAGTGAATTGATAGCACCTAATAAACCTTTAGCATGAGAGAAATGTATTATTATAATCTGAGGAGATTTAATTGAGGCAGAAGACATCTACTCTATATTATTTATATCTGAATAAGATGCTTACTCTCTTGCAACTGTGCTGCCTTTTAATATCCTCTATTAATATAAATGGAAATGAAGTAAAATATATGGGAGATCCGTGTGTGGCATCTAAATTACACGTATTAATTAATATAGTCCTGTTAATAATTACGGCACTATACTGTACACCTTTAACACAAAATATACATTCCTGTAGGAGCTTCTAGTATCAAATCCAATTTTATGTTGAACTTTAGCTGTACATATACTAATAAATCCAAACTGAAATATACTTCTTGCAATTAAAATTGTAAATCTGACTTTTGAGACAAGAATCAGGGCAGTCCTAACAATATTGGCCTTGATTTTTCAGGAGCTTGGTTCAAACGTCTTTTAAACATAAATTCAAAAGTGATTTTGATTAGATTACATTGCCTGTATCTCTGTTTATTATCAAGTTTCTTTTATTATGAACACTTCAAACCCTTTTTGCCAGAGCCAAGTATTTTCTGCTTACTACCATAGCTGTACTTCCATGTCAGAAAATAGCTAAATCTGGTAGAACATTATTAAGCAATATAAAAAAAGTTCATAAATATGCTTGGATACAGACTAGCTGTAGGGCATGGAATAATTATTTTCTTCCAATTATTAATTCCTCTTTTCCTATGCCATTTCCCCTGCTATTCCAGAGTTTTGGGGAATCCTCTGGATAAGTCCTAGAGGTGATGCCATCACCCTCTTTCTTCTACAGAAAATTTCCAATGGAAATCATGATTCCATTTGCAAATGGAGGAAGCTTTTCTATTTATAGATAGGCATTTTAGCCTCCAGCCCAAGCACCCCTGCATATTCTATGAAAAATAAAATTAAGCAGGATCAAATTATTCATAGATATGAATCTACAATATGACAATGGGACATCTCTGCAAATGTAAATACACCAATAAGCTGTGAACAGTAACTAAAATATAGGTGATGAGCAGTCACATGAGTTCCTAATACAGTCTTTCCTGAAAATAAAGACAGGGTCTTATTTCCTTTTGACCCCCGAAATAAGCAGGTCTTATTTTTGAGGTGCAGGAAGCGGCGAGCATGGTCACCTCATGGCTGCTGCTGTGTTGCAATATTTTCAGGGAGGGCTTATTTTNTATCTATCTATCTATCTATCTATCTATCTATCTATCTATCTATCTATCTATCTATCTATCTATCTATCTATCATCTATCTATCTGCCTGGGTGTCAAAGGTGATGTATGCTACGCTGCATACTTCACCTTCTTTATATGAATCACAATTTGTGCAAATTTATTTTTACCCTCTAAAATACTATTATCCAGTTGCTAGGATAATCCACCGAAATAGTGGATAGAATTTGAAAATATCCTAGACTCCTAGAAACACTTAAGGCATTTACTCCTTTGTAAGGTCTTGCCAGCTTGACATTTATCATGCTGAATGCAGCGATTGGAGAGACTAACTTGCCTGTTTGTGAAAAAGCTTTTGGCTGGGGAGCTTGCAATACTGCTGGGCGCAAGACACTTCGCTGCTGTTCCTTCGGTTTTTGACTTGGGACTCCTGAAAATGAAAGCAAGCTTTTATTTCTTTGACCCTTAGCACTGTTCGCATTGGTAGTGAGAAAGATTCAGCAAAAAAATCCTCTACTATCTGATATCTTTGTTTCCCCTCCATTTCACACAAAGCCATTGCTTACCTGCACTTGGTGCCTGGCCGTGGATTAGAGTGGGTGGCTTCAATCTAAAGCCAGAGCTCTTTTCCTCTGTAGTGGAAAAGAATGTTTTAAAAATAAGACAATTACACAAGCTGTGCAATGCGAGAGGCAATGGCCAAGATTCATAATATTTTTGCCCAGTGTTGTTATTTTTTCAAAAGGAAAAAGACCCCAAAATTAAAAGATAAGAAACCGAAAGGTTAATGATAATGTAAAGAGAGCTAGTTTGTTGTAGTGGCCTAAAGCATGAAAACCGGCCTCCAGCAAATTCAACCAAACTTGGTACACAGATGACTTACTCTCTGGAAAAGAATACTGTAAGTCACCCCTAACACCCCTCGGGGTGTGTGTGTGTCCTGGCATGCAAGTGGCATGCACAGCCCTCTCTGCAAGCTGTCGCCTTAGCTCAACTCCACCGCACATGCGCAGGAGTTGCGCATGCATGCCTGAGGAGAGCACATGGAGATGCAGGTGAGCCCCCCCCAAGCCCATTTTTGCTCCCAGGAGGGGGTGGTGGTGGTGTCATGCGGCATGCAAGGGAGTGGGGATTGTGGGGGGGTGGGGGTGTCACGCGACACTATAGATATAATACATTCCTTTTCCTGTCTAATACAGGATTACGATAAATAAATACCTGGGCAACACCAGGGGTTATCAGCTAGTAAAGAAATAAAATAAATAAAAACATGCAGAGTTAAAACTAACCAGAACCAGTCAATATTATTAGACTAATGCCAAGAATCCTAATTATTTTATACAACACTTTTCTGAGTAATGTGTCTTACAGTAAACACTTTCTGTCAAAGGCCACTGATTCAATCCCTTCTTCTCATTCAGGTTTATGTAATTATGAACTGAAATCTAAAGGTACAATATACCTAATGGTTGTGTGTCCCTATTACCTCTAATGTTCCTCAAGGCACGGTTTAAACATGCATTCCTTTCTCAAGCAAAGCTGGACAACAGGAATGGGGAGGGGGGAGAGGAAATTATTTTTTCTTTACCTGTCTGTGAAGAAGGGAACTGTGTTAATGAAGACGTTCTTTCCCGCTTTACAGGAGGACAGTAACCCCCATCTTCTCGGTCAGATTCTGTAGGGAAAGTCAGTAAACAGAAGAAGTAGAAATATAGCCCTGGCAGGTAATTCTGATTGGATTCTCACCCCTCAAATGGAACTCAGCTAAATAGGCCTGCAATAGGTAAATTCTCATTGTCTGATCGTGTTTTCAAAGACAAGGCCATTTTACAGCTATTTATCCACAGAGGAACTCTGTCTTTAACTTACTTCAAAGGTCAGCATTGCTACACCCTTCCTTTACATCAGTGTACAGTTAACTTAAGCCAATTGGTTTTACTGAATTGGTTTTACTGAAGCCAACTATCCAGGTAGATTAAATGGGATTTCCCTATTCAGAGATGTTCTTTCTCTAAGTCAGGTTTCTCCAGATTTGGCAACTTTAAAAGGCCTGTTGCCAGAACTCCCAGCAGCATGAGAGGCTGAAGAATTCTGGGAGCTGAAGTCCACAAGTCTTAAAAATGCCAACTTTGGAGACCCCTGCTCTAAATACTTCATGACTAGTCCAATACAAGAAAACACTATGGGTGTGAAAACGATTCTTTGTTAAGCTAACCAATGCTAGAAAAATACTGCTGGGCTTTGCTCACAGTTAGTGGTGCTTTTAAAATGTACTTTGCATTAGATTATGGGGTCTGTTTTGACATGAGAGGTCAACACTCTTAAAACATGGAGATCAGCTACTGGAATTCCTTTGCAAAATAAATGCATTTACACCAGCGGTGGGTTCCGGCTCCCGTTGCAACCGGTACGCTGCAACGAAGCCGGGCGTCCACCTCGTGCACAGCACACGCATGTGTACCCACTGCCTGCGATGCTCCAGCTGCTCGGAGGAGCATCGCACAGGCGTCATACGCCTCGTGCCCCTGCGCAAATGCCCCAGTCGGCTCAAATAGAGGTAAGGAGAGCAGGCGGGCCCTCCAGAGCACCGTACCGGAACCTGGTGCTCCCAACAGGCACCGGTACGCCTCTACCGGGGCGTACCGATTGTATCCCACCACTGATTTACACCCATAAACAGCCAGGCAGGGGGGAAATGTATCAACTTGTATTCAGGGACTTTTCTGGATTCTTTAGGCAAGTGGAATGAGCTTCCTCACCTTCCCCATCTTCTGGACTTGACTCATCTGCTGATCTCTGCAACAAATACATACAAATCAGACTGTATCACAAAACATAATGCTACCTTTTTTTTTTGCATAAGTTACATCACGGGTATCAAACTCATGGCGTTACGCTGCCATCACGTGTGGGTGTGCCCTGCACATGACGCATTGGGCTTGGGGCCCACCAGTTTGACACCCTGTATTACATCATAATGTGGTGCATTGCCAAGTAATAAGTCTGAGCCTGCTTCAAAAATAATTCAGAAAAAAGACTTTGGATGTTGAACCTTAAGAATCACATTATCTTTATTGAGTCAAATTCTTAGAGCAGCTGCAACTTTTCCCCCAGTTTGTTGGGAAGCTTGAAAAACACCTAAATAGCAATTAGATGCTAATTGACTCATGCTTAATGGGCTCTGGAAACACTTTTTTCTCAATAATCTATGAACTGTACCAACTCTTAATAAATGTAGATTAGATGCAAAATAATCTTTGCTTTCAATTTAAAGGGTTTATAGCAATAAATCAAAAATTGGAAAGGAAAGAAAGTTGTTTGGGCAACACTGTTCT